AAAACATATGACACAGATATTTCCAAATAACTCATCGGTACCCTTTATTTGCCCTAATCGCCCATGAATGTAACAAAAAAGCTTATGATCTACCATTGAAATTTCATCTATAATTAATATTTGTAAGTTGCGATATTTACATCTTAATGTATTAATAGTTTCTTGTCCCAATGGTTGATAAGGTGGAAATGAGAACCCCTTTCTTATTGAAAAACTGCTGTGAATAGTTGACGCTCCAATATTAAAAGCACTCACCCCAGTTGGTGCGGTAAAGAGAACAGTGATGTCATCAAAACTTTCCGCAGTTTTCACAAAAATTCGAACGCTTCGTTTTGAATACATTTGATAAGGTGAGATTTACCGGTACCAGCTGAACCAGTAACAAAGATTCTAAATGGATCACGGTTTATACCATTAAATTTGTCCAGACAATACTGGCGACTGTATTTCATTCAGGGATCTATGTAAGGGAATAGCATCACTTTTCGAAATAGTGCTTATATTAGTTTCAGTGCGAACTCTGCTACTTTGACCTTTATCATATAAAATGTCGGGAATTTGAGGTGTATTGTCATCGTCATTTTGCAAAGGTCGTGAAAATTCGAACAGGTAAATGTAGTGAAAATTCACTGCTCTAAATGAGCGTTTGTTTAAATATTGTAAGTGAAAATATAGCACAACTAGAAAAAACATGTGAATTATTATAGAGCTAAAAGATTATGTAGTCAGACTAATTTATTTACGACCTATAATAAGCTTAACAGACGACAATAAATGTCGTTTGCTTTCATCCCTCAGCATAACACCAATAACCAAAAATATATAATGTATCTTGCAAATAGAGTTCTATTAATGGTACAGACAAAATTCGAACTGGTTAATGTATCAAAAAGTCACTGCTCTAAATAAGTGTATGTTTTATTATCATAAAGGGAAATTTTGCAAAAAATTAAAAAAACCTGAGAATTATTATAGAGTTGAAAGTGTAATTAGATTAATTTATTTATGACCTATAATAATCTTAGCAGAAGATAAAATTGCCACTTTCTTTTTATTGCTAAGGATTAGCGCAGTCGGAAGCCAGTTGAATTGGTGCCTGCTAGGCGATTAAGTGCTGTGGGTTAGAATCCCGCTCTGTATTCTGATTCCACGGTCAGTGTTTGCTAGAAACAGCCCGCTGTTTGCTTTTATTCCCTCAACCAAAACTGTTGTGTGTATCTTGCAGATAGAGTTCTATTAATGGTACAGAAAAAATTCGAAAAGGTTAATGTATCAAAAATTCAAATAATCAGATTAATCTGTTTATGACCCAAACTACTTCACACCTGCATGTCAAAAGTTCATATGGATAGCTTTCCTATCATATTATATAAACTGTTATAACACCTGTCAATCATTTTAATCCCCACAATCTACAGATTTTTATCACATTTTTTATAAACATTTAACACTTTTATGCCTATTTTCACAAATTCAAATTTTGTATTAAACTACCCATGTCACATATCGTTGAAAAGAGAAAATTGAGTAGATCCTGAATATACAAACCATATTGCTAGGAGTTAATTACATTGTAAGTTAGAACCCCCAGCCGAAAAAAAACCCAATATTTTTAAAACATATTTTAATGGATTATTGTCATATATCATTGAAAAGATAATCAAAAGGGAATTACAAAATTGAAAAAAATAATTTTCTGTGTTTATTAGAAAAGGTCATACAGCCGTCCAAAGTTGTCAAAAATGTTAATTTAACCGGAAGTTAATATTTTTCAACCAATATGAGTACACCTGTGGATAGCTGAGGTCAAGAACATCCTACAGTGAAATTTTCAAGGTCATCGAAGGTCAAGGTCACATGATGTGGTCTTTTGAATTTTCAAAAAATTCAAACGAATATAAAAAAATTCAAATTCGAAATTCAAAATTCTGTTCCAACAAACTGTAGACAAGTTTACAAGGTTTTAATAGACACCAAAATCATAAAAAATCGGATAAAAAATGGAGGACTAATTAATTTTTTGCTAAAATGGGTCAGTCCGAGACGACAGCTTATGCATCACTTCCGGTTTAGATTTTTTCTGCTAAGTGCATTCTGATTATGACTGACAGACAATATATATGGTTTTTGCCAACATCTGATATTTACACCGGAAGTGGGGGTGCCAGGCGTGATTTAAAAACACCGGAAGTTCTTACGCAAAAACCTGAAGTGATAGAAACAATTTTGATTGTATAAATTTATTTGTATGGACATTCTGTATATGTCCTGTGAATTTCAGATCAATCGGATAATTTAGCGGCTGAGTTAGAAATTTTGAGCTTTTTTGAAAATTTTGGATTTAAATTTTTTTGACAAAAATATTTAAAAATTGAATTTTTTTAGCCTCACCAGATACGTCTTATAACAATGAACATATTAAAGATAATTTCAGGTAAATCGGTTCATAAATAAGCCCTACAGACTTGATGCAAAATATTTGCACATTAGGCAATGGCACACTTCCGGTTTGGCAAAAATTGAGTTTTAGATATTCATTTTTGATTCCAGGTCATTTAAAAATGTTTGGTGAAGACAATTATGCTATACTATTTTCGATTTTGTCTAGGGACGTTCACAAAAAAAAAAGAAAAAAAAAAAAAAAAAACATTACGAAAACAAAGCGTGACAAATCGTTAAATTTGCCACGCAAAAAAAAAAATAAAAGTAACGAAAACAAAGCGTGACAAATTGAATAGATTTGCCACGCAAAAAAAAAATAAACATTACGAAAACAAAGCGTGACAAATCGTTAGATTTGCCACGAAATAAAAAATTAAATAAATAAAATAAACGTAACGAAATCAAAAATTTGTATCATTATATTCCTGATGACGGTGTGAGAACCACGTTGAAGTAATAAATTTTCCAGAAGTATTATCATATTCCTGATGACGGTGAAAGAACCATGTTGAAACGTTGAAGTAATAAATGTTCCAGAAGTATCTATCCATATAATTGTCTTATTTATCTATAACTTGTGCTTCTAATATACCATTGAAGGATTAATGCTTAACCCTTGTGCTAATAGCACGTCGTTTAAATAACATTGGATAGAACCTGGGGTATTTGGGAACCCCTATTATATAATGGGATTTTTCAACAAAAGAACATGAAATATTTTCCCAGGTGTGGCAAATAATACTTTATAAAGACTCCTTTTTGACCAAATCAATGATCTATAATTTGTGCTTCTAATATGCCATTGAAGGATTAATGCTTAAACTGTCCAACAAGCAAGCAATCCATATACACATGATAGGAAGAGATAATATATCATAAGAAGCCATGCAAGAAATACATAAATATAATTAATAACTATCCTTAACCACCAAGTAGCCCTAACGGGAATGAATAGTTAATCTGTTTAAATATCACAGTAGCCTAACGGGAATGAATAGTTAATATGTTTAAATATCACAGTAGCCTAACGGGAATGAATAGTTAATCTGTTTAAATATCGAGAAGCCTAACGGGAAGAAAAGTAGTTAAACGGGAATTAGCCCAAACGGGAAGACACCTTCAATTCACCTCGATACATGGCCCGAGGAACGCGAGGGTGGGTTTATTCCAATCATGTCGGCCTCTAAAAGTTTTAAATGCAGTAGACTTACCCCTATTGCATACCCGTCCTGTGAAACCAGGTAGACAGTTGCAGATAAAAGAATTTCGTGTATTTTTACACACTCCATTATTAAGACAAGGTTTTCTTCTACAAACTGCAAATATAAATCTAAGTCAAATACTAAACAACATATACTCACTATTTTGCCATACTCTTTGATGAGATTTTGATTAACGGAATTGTCTAGCTTGAAGGGATTTTTAATTCAAGATACATTTGTTTTTAGATTGGAGCATAAATTATCAAATAGCATTGTTGCTCAGTGCGTTAAACGCTTGTTCGCTAACTTCAAGGTCCAGGGTTCAATCCTGACATAGGTCGAGATAATACTTTCGAATTTTTCAACCCGGTTTCCCCCTGTTAGTGATGCAGGTAAGAGGGGCTGACATGGAAAAGTCGTATAGACGTTCGGAGACCTCGTGTGTTACAGGCTGTGTACGTTAACGATCCTTCGAAGGCTGGAAATTGCAAAAGAGCAGGCTAATGCCGCTGCCCTGGAAAAATTTCCCTCATTGTACCCAGCAATGCGTTGCCCGTCTCCAGCAAAGCATTTCATTGTAACTTTAGAAGGATTTTTATAAATAGATTGAAATGGAAATCCCCATTCCTAAAAATAGAGCAATTTTAAGCAGTTACTTACACTTAGCCAATTAATCCTGAAAGACATGAGGCTTAAGAGCCATAAACTACAGGTGAGTTAATTGCATCTTCACAAGACAAAAACTGTATTATATCATGTAATTTATCGTGTGGTCGCTTATCGAAATCGAACATTCACACAAATCTTTATAGTCATATAGTTTTATTATTTATATATAGCTCTAAACCTGATATATTGAGCACTATTTCACGGTGGTATTTCTATATCGCCTTTCAATTGATGTATTGAGCATTTTTTTTTACAGTGGTATTTCTATATAGCTCTTCAATTGATGTATTGAGCACTATTTTAACATATAGGCCTAAAGTATCTATAGTTATTGATAGTGGTTAAAAATAGTTCTAAAAATAAGATTCAAATTAGGATTTCCCTTCCTAAAATAGAAGCAAGGAAGTATTTCAGCCATGACACCTTCTGTATGTTAACAGCAAACTTTAGCACATTAAGATCTGGAAGACATGCGGCTTAAGAGCCGTAAATTAAAGGTAAGTTACTTGTATCTTAACTAGACGAAAAAACTTTATTATGGAATCATAAAAGACTTGAGCTGAGTAGGCAAATCATGAATAGGCTGACCAAACGAGATATATTTGTTTGTTTTTATGGTGTTATGTGAATTAGATTTCCTCACTTGACATCCAGTTATTTGGGGAGTTCTGACAGAGGTGTCATGCACTAGCTCTCTGTCTATTTAGGGCACCCTACAAGTTCTAACATCACAGTAGAGCCAATCTCATGTAGGTGTAAATACCTTCTACGCTTTGATTGAAAAAATATATGTATAAATGTACGGGTATAGATCCCTATTTAAATTATGATTTAAGATGAACTGATGGGATGGTCCAGCTTTAAGTGGATTTAAAATACCTAATTGCCCTGAATACGACATTTAATGTGAACTGGGTGCTTGGAGGTTTATTTCCATATCGCCCCTTCCAAATATGCACCTTCCCAATTTGCTCTTTCCCGATTTTGTCCATTTTCCATTTCGCCCCTTTTCTCATTTCGTACCTGTCCCGACCCCTCCCCCCTCCCCCTCCTATTTTTAGGGTACGGTTGAGAGCCAGCAACTGCTATAGATACATAAGCTAAGATTGTATTGATAGGGAATGTATGTTATTTTCTAACCACTATATAGGATAAGGATACGTGTATATTCATAGTTTGTATCTAGATTCTCATACAGCTTGTTATAAGATAGGATACATGTTTCTCTAGATTCTAATACAGATTGTTATAGGTAAGATACATGTTTATCCAGATTCTCATACAGCTTGTTATAGGTAAGATACATGTTTATCTAGATTCTAAGGATAAGGATACGTGTATATTCATAGTTTTTATCTAGATTCTCATACAGCTTGTTATAAGATAGGATACATGTTTCTCTAGATTCTAATACAGATTGTTATAGGTAAGATACATGTTTATCTAGATTCTCATACAGCTTGTTACAGGTAAGATACATGTTTATCTAGATTCTCATACAGAATGTTATAGGTAAGATACATGTTCCTCTAGATTCTAATACAGAATGTTATAGGTAAGATACATGTTTATCTAGATTCTCATACAGCTTGTTACAGGTAAGATACATGTTTATCTAGATTCTCATACAGCTTGTTATAGGTAAGATACATGTTTATCTAGATTCTCATACAGCTTGTTATAAGATAGGATACATGTTCCTCTAGATTCTAATACAGATTGTTATAGGTAAGATACATGTTTATCTAGATTCTCATACAGCTTGTTATAGGTAAGATACATGTTTATCTAGATTCTCATACAGCTTGTTATAAGATAGGATACATGTTCCTCTAGATTCTAATACAGATTGTTATAGGTAAGATACATGTTTATCTAGATTCTCATACAGAATGTTATAGGTAAGATACATGTTTATCTAGATTCTCATACAGCTTGTTATAGGTAAGATACATGTTTATCTAGATTCTCATACAGCTTGTTATAAGATAGGATACATGTTCCTCTAGATTCTAATACAGAATGTTATAGGTAAGATACATGTTTATCTAGATTCTCATACAGCTTGTTATAGGTAAGATACATGTTTATCTAGATTCTCATACAGCTTGTTATAGGTAAGATACATGTTTATCTAGATTCTCATACAGCTTGTTATAAGATAGGATACATGTTCCTCTAGATTCTAATACAGAATGTAAGATATAGGTAAGATACATGTTTATCTAGATTCTCATACAGCCTGTTATAGGGAGTAAAGGTTGTATTTTCTTTTTAGATATTTGGTAACGTTAGTCTCAGAAACGGGATTTTTTAAGCTAAGCCAATCAGTAATAGTGTTCACATCTCACCGTCGAAATTTATGGCTTGAAATGGACCAACTTTTAATTTTTGTGAGATACTGAGAGATTTATACGCGGAAGGATACATGTATTTCCAAAAATAGTTGTTTTGTAAGCAGTCCTAGTCAACAGGATGTTGATATGCGGTAGTGGTATAAAGTTCAAAATTTTCATCGTCATCATATATTGATGAGACAATAAGTATTGTCTTTTATTTGAAATATTGGAAACTTTTCAAACGAGATTTCTGGAAAAAGGTTGAATTTCGTGATTTAACATGAAAACAGAATGAATTACTGGAGTGTGTTAAAATCCATGTGTGTCCAGAATTATCCGTGCTTGAAAGTTAAAAAGAAAAACCCTTTTCTTGAGATACTGCTACGACAGCTATAGAGATAGGGGAAAAAAATCCTAGTTTTTTGAAGGAATTATGCGATTTTTAGTACACTTCTAGTACTTCTGAAGACAGTTTACATGTATTCAAGACTCAAATCAACCTCCAAAGTGGAGTAGGGTATCTGTCCCTTTAATTTCAAGTCATTTTCGGCAATTTACCAAAGAAATTATTAACTATTTATATGATTGAATACGTGTCTATCTAGATTCTAATAGATCCTGAAATGAGGAAAACGGATGTCAACCACTTAACAGTGCAGTTTAGAAATTTCGGTCATTTAAAGTTAGATTGACACTTGACTGGTTGGTTGGTAGGTGACAAGTTAACGTTCTCTTCCAGCGGATGCTGATATCACAAACTGGGTAGTTGTTGGTAGATGACAAGTTAACGTTTGCCTCCAGCGGATGCTGATATCACAAACTAGGTAGTTGTTGGTAGATGACAAGTTAACGTTCTCTTCCAGCGGATGCTGATATCACAAACTAGGTAGTTGTTGGTAGATGACAAGTTAACGTTCTGCTTCAGCGGATGCTGATATCACAAACTAGGTAGTTGTTGGTAGATGACAAGTTAACGTTTGCCTCCAGCGGATGCTGATATCACAAACTAGGTAGTTGTTGGTAGATGACAAGTTAACGTTTGCCTCCAGCGGATGCTGATATCACAAACTAGGTAGTTGTTGGTAGATGACAAGTTAACGTTCTCTTCCAGTGGATGCTGATATCACAAACTAGGTAGTTGTTGGTAGATGACAAGTTAACGTTCTCTTCCAGTGGATGATGATATCACAAACTAGGTAGTTGTTGGTAGATGACAAGTTAATGTTCTCTTCCAGTGGATGATGATATCACAAACTAGGTAGTTGTTGGTAGATGACAAGTTAACGTTCTCTTCCAGTGGATGATGATATCACAAACTAGGTAGTTGTTGGTAGATGACAAGTTAACGTTCTCTTCCAGTGGATGCTGATATCACATACTAGGTAGTTGTTGGTAGATGACAAGTTAACGTTCTCTTCCAGCGGATGCTGATATCACAAGCTAAGTAGTTGTTGGTAGATGACAAGTTAACGTTTGCCTCCAGCGGATGCTGATATCACAAACTAGGTAGTTGTTGGTAGATGACAAGTTAACGTTCTCCTCCAGCGGATGCTGATATCACAAACTAGGTAGTTGTTGGTAGATGACAAGTTAACGTTCGCTTCCAGTGGATGATGATATCACAAACTAGGTAGTTGTTGGCAGATGACAAGTTAACGTTCTCTTCCAGCGGATGCTGATATCACAAACTAGGTAGTTGTTGGTAGATGACAAGTTAACGTTCTCTTCCAGTGGATGATGATATCACAAACTAGGTAGTTGTTGGTAGATGACAAGTTAACGTTCTCTTCTAGTGGATGATGATATCACAAACTAGGTAGTTGTTGGTAGATGACGAGTTAACGTTCTCTTCCAGTGGATGATGATATCACAAACTAGGTAGTTGTTGGTAGATGACAAGTTAACGTTCGCTTCCAGTGGATGATGATATCACAAACTAGGTAGTTGTTGGCAGGTGACAAGTTAACGTTCTCTTCCAGCGGATGCTGATATCACAAACTAGGTAGTTGTTGGTAGATGACAAGTTAACGTTCTCTTCCAGTGGATGATGATATCTCAAACTAGGTAGTTGTTGGTAGATGACAAGTTAACGTTCTCTTCCAGTGGATGATGAAATCACAAACTAGGTAGTTGTTGGTAGATGACGAGTTAACGTTCGCTTCCAGCGGATGCTGATATCGCGAACTTGGTAGTTGTTGGTAGTCGTAGTAGTTGGTAGTTGTTGACACTGACTGCTTTCCGAGAGTTCTTATATCTAATCCATGACAAGTTTTTAAACTCGGCTTGTCAACGCCTATTTTTTAGGATTCACAAATATAAGTAACTATGAGCTCATCTGATCTGTATTTAATTTGTCAACTTACAGATGGGTTTCCTTATTTTTTAGTGTCAAATTAAGTAAATTATTTGATTAATTTGTGTTTCTAATGAATTATCATGTATTCTTAATTGTATCATTATACCATGTCAGTACAGTCTGGATAAACAAAAAAGACTTTTTGACCTTTCTTGATCGGTCATTCATTGGAATTCTGCTAGTAATTCTCTTCTGATTTAGCTAATTATGAATTAATTATGGACATGTGAGAAAAACTGGTATTTTTCCAAGTCATGAGAACACCTCTACTTTCTATTCATGTATTAATTAGTCTACAAATGTACTATGACCCAGTCGTAGGTGACGGAGTAGCTTGAGCCTCAGCTTGTGGCGGAACCCTATTTATTTTTGTAAAATATCATATGTTTAATCATGTCAAGTTATATTTGGAGGCTTAAAATGGTTCTGTTTTTATCTTTCAGAGATTAAGATTAAGTTAAAGAAATGAAGGTTTTGGCGTTGATAATCATTATCGCTGTCTTGAAAATTTACAGCATTGAAGCTAAGGTGATCAACCTTTTTTTATCTTTCAAATATTGCCAGACTTCAATCAGAGTTTCTCTGCAATAATTCTTTTTAATAATTTTCTCAAAACTAATGTAATCGATCTATTCAATAAAGTTGTCTTATTTTGCCTTACGTTCTTACGATAATTATACACAAAACGCACATTTTGAACACAAAAAACTAGGTCGGGCTTCCATTAACTCTGAGGTGGAAGTATACCACTTTCAGCGCCACTCACTAACGTAACAAAATATGCACAACCACATCATGTGTTTCTTTTAACTTTTTTTCCACAATAAAACAGATTATATTTTCTGATAATTTTTTCTAGAGGAGAAGATCCAAAGTAAGAAAGTGTAAGTTCCATGAATTGATTTTTCGTTCTTTTTTTAAAGGGGTGTGGGGGGCATTGATTGATTGATACAGAGTGCCATTGGGCTATAGCCATTACAACCCCCCCCCCCCCCCTTCTCCCACCCTTCTCCCACCCCACAAAAGGCCTTTCAAAAGTCAATGAACACATACACAGATTCCATACACCTTGTTTCTATTATTTCTATTACGTTTATTTCGCATGTACCATATTCCTTTCCTCAAACAATCTTTTCAAATTAGTGTTTTTATATTTGTATTCTGCCCACAAGAGGCGTATATGCAATAAATCTTATTTTATGGGGAGCATGAGGCATACGTACATACAAGGGTATGTATAAGAAAACTCAACTATTCAACCACCCTGATTGGTAGTAAGAAAAGTATTCCTTTTAATATTTCAGCCTGTGGGCAGTTGAGAGATAAATGCATCAAAAGACAATTAGATGATTTTGAAAGTAGGATTTTAACTTTAAATGTATTAGTAGTACTTTGCTAACTGTTTTATATACATATTGTCAATGTATCAGATAGATGTGTGATCCGTATGAGCGTCTGAGAACATTCTCTCAAGAAAATTGTCGAAGAAAAATTGAACGCATTCTGAGACACATTTTGGGGCGAAAACGTGTAAAAATTACTTTTTAAATTTGTCATTCTTGTTGTTTTATATTTTCAGAGCAGTACAAGTCAGAGACCGTTTGTCTGAAGAAACTCAAACCAGTTGTTCTCAGTAATAGAAGATCGGTTGCAGGTATATCTATATTTAGACATGATTTAGCTACTTGTTATTTGTCTTATCAAGAAGAGAGTGAAACGCTTTTTCATTTGTTCAATGAGCATATTGCATTCTTCAGTAACATAATCAATTATGTTTCTCTTTCAGAGTATTACAAAATAGCGGTTAGAAAATCTTGTACTGGCAAAGGTAGGCTAACATTTAACATATTGAGCCGCAGTGGTTCAGTGAGTTAGACGCTTGCTCGCTAACCTGAAGGTCTAGGGTTCAATCCCGAAATAGGTCGAGATAATGCCTTCGGATTTTTCAACCCGGTTTCCCTCTGTCAGTGACGTAGGTAAGAGGGACTGACATGTCTAGTCGTTTGGATGGGGCAATAAATCCAGGCCTCGTGTGCTACAGGCTGTGCACGTGGACAACGAAAAAGGGCAGGGTAATGCCGCTGTCCTGGCAAAATGTCACTCATTAGCCCACATGGTGCAGAAAAGTAGGACGTAAAACTCCATTTCATTTCATTTTGTGTAGGGAAGGTTCCAAAGCAAGTGATCGGTATTACTAGTCCATGGTCTTTTCCACATCGCCTTGTTGGATTGGGTTTATCACTCACGATCTACAAAATAATGTTGTAGGGGACGTTGCTTCAAGGAGCCTTTCGTTTGTCTAATGTTCCCTATATTGAAGAACAGATGTGATAAAAGTATTTTGTGCTTTCTTACACAGGTGTGGTTCAAGTACCCAAAAAATGTGTTGAGTATGCCAAGCAGAAACCGGGTTTTAGATTGATAAATGAGACGTGTAGGACATCTATTACGCTTTCATATTATTGTAAGTACAAATTTGAAGGTGACAGAAAACAACAACATAGCAAAGTTCTCTGTTTCTAGAAATCTTCGAAGTAAACTATCCCTCATCAATTAGTGTCATTATCTCATGCCCTTGTAACCTTCTCCCTTTCAAAATCGCGACAGGAAGCAAAAAGTTAGATGTTGCTATTCACCAGTCGAAATATACTGCTTAAAATAACACTCTTTTCCTGTCACCAAATATGACTGTACTGGACAAGGTTTGGCTTAACCATCATTTGATTGGTCAATCAGTCAAAGAGTGATTTGAAATATAAACAAATCAGTAAACAGTATATCCCGAAAAAAACATTCTGGATTGAATTCGATTCTCGGGAACTTAAGTATATTCATAATTGGAATATAGTATGATCTTAATTATATATATATATATATATCTATTTTAGACAAAAAACGAAATTTAAAGATCAAAGCTAATGAAGTTTGCTGTGAGTGTGACTTTCCTTTTTAACTAGAGTTTATAATATTTTTGAAAAATTCTGACTGCACATTAGAGAAAAAAATAGCACAGCCTCATACGCAGGAGTCTAGCCCAATTCACAAATACATCTCTACTAGGCCACATCAATTTTAATAGCCGCGAATCCAGTTGCACCTGTATGAATCGTTAGGTTGAGGGTTGGAGTAAACAAAATCGTTCTGTAATACACAGGTATCATTTTTGCTCGCCTTGGTGTATGTGATAGAAATAATAAAAATAATAAAAATAGCTCTGTGGGTTCTCTATTTGGTATAAAATTGAGAAACCCATTAGCAGGCTGCCATTAAGTGTAGTAAACTAGTAAGTATACCCTAGTGATACTGACATCATTGAAAATGATCATCTGTCTCTTATTTAGAATTTAAATGATGACAAAAAGTTTGTCCACAGTCTCTAAGTAATTAATACGAATTGAATTGCAGCCTCAAAAATAAGAATTCGACATACCAAATGTGGTCAATTCAAAGGAGGGGATATCAAACACTCTACCAATAAAGGAGACGGAAATTCTACCATTGTTTTGACCTCTACGGTTCACAAATCCATTACTCAAAATGACACATGGAATCCATTGGATGATAAAAATGGTACTAAGGGATTCGATGATTCAGATGACGGTAAGAATTATTCTAATCAAAATGCAAATCCAGTTGTTGTATTTTTTCGTGTTGTTTTGTTTTCTATTGATAACTCTCGTGGAAAATTGCGATAATCGTTGGACAAACTTAAATTAATGGAGATATATCTGTTACCCTTCGTGATTTTTGGGGAGGGGCGTGGGGGGGTGGGGTGGGGATAACAACCACGATCTGACGCTGTTCTGCTTTTCAATTGAGTTCAGTCGAACTGTCGTTGTTTATCATATTATTTACATGTATACTAACTAGTGAATTTCACATCGCCTGCTATTTGGGAGGCAGAGGTTTTATTGATCACGGTATTTAATTTGTTGAATAGCTATACCTAGAACTCCGAAAGCATAACAATTTCATTTTAACACGGCCAACCATTAAAACGGAACAAAATTAATGATGTAGTTACTTTCTGAACCGTTGTTTTCGAGGACCGATATTCCTAGTTTGCGTCGGAAAGAATAACAATTTCATTTTAACACGGCCAACCATGTAGTTACTTTCTGAACCGTTGTATTCGAGGACCGATATTCCTAGTTTGCGTCGGAAAGAATAACAATTTCATTTTAATACGGTCAAATGCGGTAATCCATTAAAACGGAACAAATCATCTAGTCACTTTAACATTTAACCGTTGTATTCGAGGACCGATATTCCGAGGTGTCGTCTAGTGATTAGTGTCGTCACTTAAGGTTGGCGCACTATTACCGATTTTCAAAAGATATGTTAGTGCGCTTGTACAGATCATTCTCATATACCACCAATGATTTACTGTTCGCGGAAATGGTGCAGACTATATAGATTGTTGATGGCAGATAACTGAAAGAGAGCTTTTATCAGTCGGCGAAGCAATTAATTAAGAATTCATCAATGAACATGAAATGCACGTACGAATTTTGTTCATATTGTTTTTTATTTTTTTATTTCAGAAGCTAGTATATCGGCAGAGATTTTTCTTTTACTCTTAATAATAATAGCAGTAAGCATAACAACGCTGTTAATTCTTATGACATGTATATATGCATATGTTTACAAAAGAAGTAGAACACGTGCATTAAAAGGAGGAAAACGGAAGGGAAGGCGGACTGGTAGAAAACATTTAGAGGAAGGCACAAATCTTTCAGGTATTATTGTCAATTTTCACTTTATCAACCAATTATCAACGTACAGTACACATTAATAAACATGGACACACATTTTGTCCCTTACAAAGATACCCCTCATGGTACACTGCATAGTCACTAAGGTGAACTGCAATAAAACATACTGGATCATATTCGGGTATCTAATTGTCTGAGAAATATATCTTTTAACATGCACAAAGTTAGAAAAGAAATTATGATTTTGTTAGGAATGCTGCCAATTATTCGAAGGTATGGAAATGATCTATTGAATCAAGTGACTTGCTTTATGATTGTATTTTATATCATTTTAGATCTAACATTGAGTTTCTCGGCCAGAAAAATCTTATCAGAAACATCATTAGAAACTAGTTTATTGTGCAAGCCACATTTAGATAAACTTCCCTATACAACACTGGATACGTGTTCACACATAACCACGCCCTGTCTTCATAGCTTTGAACGTACATCCTCGCACACGGAATACTATAAGGACATAAAAGACGTACAAGCACGCGCTTGTGGGATAGGATCGTTAAACCACAACATCGTCAAGGAGGAAATAATTGAAATTGAAACTTGCAGGACCAAGCTGCATGACAACGATGTAGATACATCAGATACACCAATACGATCAATACATTCTTGTAACGAGTTATGTTCATTATCTGATCCTTTGTTACCTGAAGATATTACTCCTGTCAAACCTGATGGTATTTTCTCAGAATATGATTGTGAATGTACACGTGTAGATTCTTTTGACTCTCTGTACTCTGGAGGTGATTGTGGAGACTGGCTGAATGAAATACTTGATATAACAGTGTCTGATCAACAAGATACACAAATCAACGAATTCAAGATACTAACAGAAGAGCCAATAGATGTCTCGATCGATTCTTCACTGTCGAATAAGGATAATACTGCTGTCCAACCTTTTGACACTGATAGAGAACGAAGCGCGATGTTTTGGAATAAGCACAGAAGTTTACCCATAATTCCTAATGCTACTATCCTGTATTCAGAACTCAACTGGTTAGATGGACGTTTGAACAGGTTTGCTTTGTCAGTAACTTCGTTGTCAAAAACTGATAGACAATACAGCCACGACTACTTTGAAAATCGTCTACGATCTCATGAACCAAATACACAAAATCGATTGTCCAAGTCATTGAATTTCATATGTCCAAAACCAGTTACGTTATGTTCCACGGGAAAAGCAAACTCTTCACTAGACGTGCTGTGTACTACGTTAACAGACGTAAGGCTTTTGAGAAGAAGTACCGGGATCTGGGCGGATTTTTTTGAACTATTCCATTTAAGGGTTAACAGCAGTGTAATTAGCATTTCGTCCTTGCACTCTGATGAAGATTACGCTAAAACTATAAATATCCAAGAGCGCACTGGTCAACACACACCAGCAAGTCTAGAAAATATGTCATTACCGTCAGAATCATCCAATCAATTTGCCAGCTTCTATTCTACCACATCAACGAATGCAAGTGGTTCTTCCATAACGCATATTTGTCTTGGTGATACTTCACATTTATTCACAAACGAGAGAGGGGAAGACGGCCAACAAGGACATGGCAGCCAAGAGGAAGCAGAAAACGACCGAAAAAGAATAGAAAACGTTCAAGATGAAAACGTACAAGATGAAGAAGATAAGGTGGGCGGGGAAAGGAACAACGGCCAACAAGAACAAGGACAAGGCAGTCAAGAGGAAGCAGAAAACGACAAAAAGAGAGTAGAAAACGTTCAAGATGAAGAAGACATGGTGGATGGGAAAAGGAACAACGGCCAACAAGAACAAAGACAAGACAGCCAACAAGAAACAGATGATATTGATGATGATATTGATGATCGTCTTGATGATGATATTGATGATGATCTTAATGATGATATTGTAGAGGAGGAGAGGGAAGAAAAACACAACCATAATGAAGGAAAAGAAGATCTTGAAGGAGAGATCCGATCTTACAACAATAACAAGTCCAGACGAAGTAACCAACAAAACACCATTACAACTATTCATAACAATTTGAGAGAATCTGTAGATACTGCTAGCGGCAAGCCACTCTCTTTAGATAAAGAATCAAACCAACACGATCAAAATGATTTTCGGTTTTATTACCAAGACGGAGGAACACAAACCAAAACACAGAATCTTCCACGTACCATTTTCAACACTGATTGGTCTGCTGAAGCTTCGTTTGGTGTCTCGGGTGGAGAGTTACAGACAGAGAATTCCAGTGTGAAGTTGATTGTAGTTCCGGGTACTGTCAAAGAATCAGAATCCATCACCATCAATGCTCATGTACACGTTAATTTAAAGAAATTAGTAGAAGTGTTGGCAATACCCAAGGACGAATTCATCGTTTCTCCAGCTCCGGAATACCATCTCAACGCCGATTGGAAAAAGGTGATCAAGAAGCCAATGATCATACTACTTCCGGTGACGCTGTCACCAACGTTCATCACTGAGAGCCTGACTGTTTACGTCTTTCAGTCTAAAGCTGGGCAAATTGTTAAATATCCCATTGGAGAAAAATCAAAACAAAACGACAACGGCGATGATCCCTATTTTGAAGTTTCTAAAGATCGAAAAAACATCCTTATTTATACTTATCACTTTAGTGGAGTGGTGGCTTGCTATAAATGTTCAAAAGATGTTACAGTTCCCGGTTATCTCAGCGCTTGTATCAAAGGTTCCAACAAGCCCCAAAAACACGGAAGAGAAGTACGGATTCGATATGAAATTTTTGATAACAAAAATGAAATTAAAGATTTTGAAGTGCAGGTATGTTTACATTTCTTATGGATGAGATTGCCCGGCCATCTCAATATTGCTCTTTCCCATTGTACTCTATTTTTATTGAAAGTAGGTGTCGTAAGATAGGTAGATAATGTTTCTTTAGAATGTACGCTTTTACATATGGATGTAAGCGTCACTGAGACAAATATTTGTAAGTCACCACTGAGACAAATAGTTGTTAGTCACCATTGAGACAAATAGTTGTAAGTCACCACTGAGACAAATATTTGTAAGTCACCACTGAGACAAATAGTTGTAAGTCACCACTGAGACAAATAGTTATAAGTCACCACTGAGACAAATAGTTATAAGTCACCACTGAGACAAATATTTGTAAGGCATCACTGAGACAAATAGTTGTAAGTCACCACTGAGACAAATAGTTGTAAGTCACCACTGAGACAAATAGTTATAAGTCACCACTGAGACAAATATTTGTAAGGCATCACTGAGACAAATAGTTGTAAGTCACCACTGAGACAAATAGTTGTAAGTCACCACTGAGACAAATAGTTGTAAGTCACCACTGAGACAAATAGTTGTAAGTCACCACTGAGACAAATATTTGTTTAATTGAATTATCAAATTAGCCCTTTCGAATCCCCAAGTTGACAAACGTAAATATATATTTATATTCAAAACGATTAATTTTCCATTTTATCGCTTGGGTCTCCCTGTCTGAAAACGATTCTGATCTCTTTCTAGAATCAGCATGAAAACGGATTGGTGCTTCTCGAAAAGCGAGTGAGGATAAATTTACCAGCAAACGCTGACAACGACTCCAAACTGATTTTAAAACTGGATGTAGTAGGCGATGAAAGTAATTTATGGGAGTCTAAAAAACTGCCATCTGGAGAAGAAATGTTTCCAATGGAATTGGTATGTCTATCTCAACTAAACGTATTCTCTTTTGAAACAATTTTCACCTAGTACATGCCATTGAGAAATAAACGATAAGGCCATTCAAAATAAAAAGTCTGTTTTACAGGCCTTTTTTTCAAAAATCGGGGCGAGAGGGCGAACTTATTATTAATTATTTATAAGCGCTTTTTTAGATTTTCAACTGGAATAAATCGGGGCGAGCGAAAGCATTTATTATTTATTACCACAAATATAATGTACATTTAATATTAAGGCAACAATCAGGCATTTTTGAGCCTGTAAAACAGACTTTTTATTTTGTATGGCCTAATGAGAAATATTGTTAAAAAATTTGTGCTGTAGTTGCTATATGAAATGTAATTCATGTACATCAATTTATATCAACTAATATTTGGAACAATTTCTACCGGATGTCTGAAATCAATCATCACCAAAATCATGCTCTACATAAAAATTCCCACCTAATACAATCTATATACACTTTTCACAACAAAAAATGCAGCAACTTTCTTGTATCACGGAATGCAGCGATTTGATTGGATTGTATGATAGCGAATACAGCCATTCAGAGCCCTCGACATAAAAACTGTAAACTATTGTGAACAGACCTTCTATCGAGGGGTTTCATTGGCTGTATTCGATAGCTTACAATCCTATCAAATCGCTACTTTGACAAACTTTTATGATACAAGATAAGAGCCTAATGAAGCCAAGGTATTAGATGCAGCTCGTAATAACTTGATATTGTGAAGATGACCAGCTGATGATGCCTGTGTTTTAATTTGGTTCTTTCAGGAGGTGTATTTACGTGAATTATTAACATGCAGTTCCCACCTAGATATATTTGATACAGAATGGGTGATGCGTGGTTTGCCCGAGTCACCAGAAGAGCTTCTACAACCATTTGAATGCAGGATAAGTGTATCTGAGAAGGAAGTTAATGGAACAGAAGGGGCGGTTGCCATTTCAAGTAAAAATAAATCTTACGTGCGAATCGAGGTAAATGAATTTTAAATGTCCGATTTGTCAAAATTGACAGATGTCTCTCCTAGAAGAGACACAAAGTGGAAATTATAAATAGGGGGTTGACTGACTCAATGGGGGGTTAACTCTCGAGGATGAATACAAAATGCATCAACTATGTGAGGTCGCGAGCCTCTCGAGTCTAGAAAATTTCAGAAAATTTGAATTGATTTGATGCATTCTGACACATATTTTGTGGCTAAAAGGTATAAAAAATCCTATTTTTGAATCTGTTAAAAATAAAGTGGGGGTACAAACCATTTTTCTTGGAGGGCAAATGTCCATCCTGTACCCCACAGGCTGTGGGTATAATTTTATTTTGCACAAATGTGGTGTGTATTAATGTGTAGTAAATAGTCATTTTTTTAAAATTAAAGATGGGTTCCTTATTTTCATTTACGGAAATGCAAATGCTAATACTTATATGAATAGAAAGTAGAGGTGTTCTAATGACTTGGAAAAATACCAGTTTGTCTCACATGTCCATAATTAATTCATAAATAGCTAAATTAGAAGAGAATTACCAGCAGAATTCCAATGAGTGGCCGATCAAAAAAGGTCAAAAAGTCTTTTTTTTTTGTTTATCCAGAATGTACATACATGAACATTTATGATTAGTAATAATTATATGCAATAAGAACATAATGATATGATTAAGAATACATGATAATTTATTAGAAACATCAATTGATAACATAATTTGCTTAATGTGACACTAAAAAATAGGGAAACACATCTTTAAGTAAAAACACTGATTTTGATTTATTTTCTGGTGTAGCTTTTTGCTCTCGGTTTTGATACATACCACAAAGAGATTATATAATCTTTGAAAGTCAAAAATACACTTTGCAAGTAGCCTAATGTGTAGATTATAAAGCTTTTTTTGAAATACAGAACAATTATCTAGCTGCAAATTCATTGTTTTCATGTCTGACGGTTTTCAGTAAACGTAAGCTACCTTGTCTGATTTCCAATAGTGGAAATATTTAGTTTCCAACGAACATAGGTCATCTTGATACTCGTTTATTTTCAACAGGCTACCACTGGGAGTTACAAGGAAGAGATGTCATCAGACAACAAGAGCCGGAGTGGATCAAACCAGGTGCTCGAGGAATCTCGAGCTAATCACTGGTAAGTCTTAATATTTAATTCGATACAGCGGTCGAAGTTTTCAGTTGACTTTGGTCAACACGTGTGTAAGCCGAAACTTAATGTGCATTGTCCTCATGTTTTTTTTCAAAAAGCTTTACATAAGTGCCATAAGTAAGATAGGTGACTCATATCTTTAATTTTCGATCTGGCTTGTCAGGAATTTGCACTGAAAAGTCTTCGAATTAATGTACTACATTTCGGCATCTACAGCCACAGCCATATTTCAACAATTTACCACTATAACCTCCTCAGATAGCGGAACATAAATTTGTTTGGGAATGGAAACGAAGTCCGCCTAGGTAGCAACATGTTGTGTAGCTTTCAATCTAAGGTAAGGGCACGATATAATAATGCTCAGGAGACAAATGTATTTGAATTTCAGTACTCAACCTATCTCAGAAAGAAGAAACTTGCATAGTGACAACAGATCCATGGCTGAATTAGATAACAGAGAATTCGTCAGATGCGTTCAGGAAGTCGGGCTACCACTTAGTCGACAGGATTTGCATCAACAAGATGTTAGAGACGATAGTAATGGCCCCCAAGCAATGGCAGAGTTAACTGGAACTGACCGGCGATCACCGTGCGAAAATTCAGATAATACTGAATATCCTTCTTATTGTGATACTCAGCAAACAGTTCCTAAAGTATACGGATGATTATCTAGTGTATCACAACAATTTTGTTTGGTCATGTGTATTTGGTTTTTAAATTTCAGAAACTAGGTGGCCCTCCGAACCTCAGACAGATGATTGGACACAAGTCTATTTCCTAGATAAAAATATTTATCAGAGGTTGGAAGATTCATTAATTTTCTATCTGTACTAGTCCGTTGGTATTTGCTGAAACACGATCGATCCACAAATACATCTAGGACCTTATTCTCCAAACCTTGAGTTAAATAAAATCCAGATTTTAAGAAATACAGTAATCTGATTGGATAATAAAACTAAATTTAAAATCAATTATAGATGACTGGAACACTAAAATCATCTTCAGTTGAATTTTTAAAAAATATGGTTCCTGTTTTATTATGTTGTTTATTCATAAAATAGAACGTAAGCAGTAATGCAAATGGTTTAATATCGGTGATACATTACAGACTCGTAGGCCATTGGCAAGCTTCTAGAACAAGAGTGATCATAATCACGTGTCTCTCGTGATGACGTCATATAGCGGGAAATACAAACTTGTTATCTAACAGTACATAATACAACATCCCCCTTATTTACAGTTATTATGATCAGTCTCTTGTAATACCTTAACTAAACATTAACTGTCTATTTTGACTATAGATTTACATATGAAAGTCTTAACTTTTGGAAAACCTGTTCATAACTCAATAACATTTTATATTTCTGTGATTAATCTTTTAACAGGTTTCCTTTTACGTTTAGACTTTCTTAAAACTTGACTAAACTTATTTTTAACAACGGGACTAGAATTATTCTCAACAAGAGGACTAAATGAATTCACTGGAGGTACATCTGAAAATCGTGTATGCTTTTGCGTACTTTCATTAGTAACTTCTTGTTGCTCAAAATCTTCAATATCATTATAAGTAAGGTCTTGATTACGAGGCGATTCACATGGAACTAAATTTGATCTATTACGTCTTAAACATCCTTTAGGAGTATTAACAATATAAGATCTAGGTGATCTATGTTTCTTAACTATGGTTCCATGAGATTTACTGTCTCTAATAAAAACATTTTGTTCAGGTTCTAAATCTTTTAAACGATTAACCTTATGACGTTTATCAAAATTACACTTAGTTTTCGCTCTATATATCTCCTCTCTTTCCCTCACTAAACTTAAATGTGACCAATTAGGAATCAATTCTCTAGGAGAAACAGGAACTTGAGTTCTTAATTTTCTGCCGAATAGTAATTCTGCAGGACTAAAACCTGAATGTAATGGAGTTGACCTATAAGCTAATAATGCTTTATAAGGATCATTAGATTTCTTAATAAGATTCTTAACAGTCTTAACGGCTTTCTCAGCAGCTCCATTGCTTTGTGGATATACAGGACTGCTGGTGATATGCTCAAATTCGTAATCTTTTGCGAATTCCTTAAATTCTAATGAAGAATATTGAGGACCGTTATCTGATCTTAACGTTTGAGGAATTCCATGACGAGCAAAAAATGATTTTAAATGAAGTATTACTTCTTTACTTGAAGTATACGTTAACTTAGCAATTTCTACATATCTAGAAAAATAATCAACTACTAATAAATAAGTGTTTCCATGACAATAATACAAATCACTGCCCACAATTTCCCATGGTCTACCTGGAAATTCAGTAGGTTTAAGCGGTTCAAATTGTTTATCACGATGCTCAGCACACTGAGTACATTTATAAACTAAAGAGCTTAGGTTAGGCCACCATACACTTTGCATGGCTCGATCTCTGCATTTGGTTACACCCATATGACCTTCATGAAGTTTATCAAGAATTTCTAACCGCATTGAGCTTGGAATTAAAATACGCGATCCTCTCATCAGGATATTTTGTACTAAAGCGATTTCATGGCGTACAGCCCAATATGCTCTTAATGCACTACTCAAAATAACACGATCTGGCCATCCATGTTTAACATATTCTTTAATTTTAACACATACAGGATCGATTTCCTGTTGTTTAATAATTTCAATTAAACGATTTTCAAGTTTCTTACAATTTTGAACTACGCCAGCTATCATGGCTTCACATTCTTTTGATAATTCTAAATCAGACTTATCTGCAGTAACCGATAAAGGTGCTCTGCTTAAAGCGTCAGCTATAATTAGATCACGACCGGGAACGTGACTAATTGTATATCTATACCTAAATAACCGTAATCTAAATCTCTGAATTCTTGCAGGTAGCTCATTTACACATTTGGTTCCTAACAATGAGATTAAAGGTTTATGATCTGTTTCGATATGAAATTTTATACCGATTAAATAATCTGAAAATTTATCACAAGCCCAGGTTACGCCTAGCGCTTCTTTATCAATTTGTGGATAATTTTGCTCTGCGGAAGTCATTGTTCTCGAGGCAAATAAAACAGGTTTCCAATCATCGTTGGAATTAGCTTTTTGAAAAAGTGCGGCTCCTAAACCAAACTTTGATGCATCAGCATTCACTTTTGTTTCGTGATTAGGATTATAATGTTTCAAAATTTTAGGTGAACATAATTCAACTTTAATTCTTTCAAAAGCATTTTGACGCCTATTTGTCCAAGTAAATTCTACTTTTGGCGATATTAATTCACGCAAAGGCTGTGTTAATTCAGCTAAATTAGGAGTGAATTTGCCTAATTGATGGATAACTCCCAAAATTCTGCGTATTCCATGAATATCAGTTGGAGGTTCCATATTACTTATTGCCTTTAATTTGTCGGGATCAGGTTCTATACCACTCTTACTGATAATATGTCCTAAAAATTTTACACGTGTTTGTGAAAATTTACATTTCGACAAATTTAAAGTTAATCCTGAAGTTTCAAGTTTTTCTAAAACTTGATTGAGCCTTTTATCATGTTCTGACTTAGTTTTGCCAAACACTAAAATATCGTCCATATGACATAATACACCTGAAAATCCGTCCAAGAGTTGCGACATACGTTTTTGAAAATATTCCGGTGCGGAATTTATTCCAAAAGGAAGACGATTAAACTCGTATCTCCCGAAAGGAGTCATAAAAGTGGTTAAGGAACGTGATTCCGGACTTATACCTATTTGAAAAAATCCACTATTGGCATCCAATTTTGACATATAGCATGCATCCGATAATTGACCCAATGTAGTTTCAACAGTTGGGAGCATATAATTTTCAACTAAAACATTTTTGTTTAGCATAGTAAAATCTACGCACAAACGAATCCGACCATCGTCCTTATCAATTGGTACGATTGGGAAACACCAATCAGTCGGTTTATCAACCTTAGAAATTACACCAGTGTCTAACAAATGTTTCAACTCGGTTTTAAGTTTTTCATATTGAGGCAGCTTAACTGCTCTAGATGTAACTACAGAATAAGGAACTGCATCTGGATGTAATCTAATAGTGTACTGTCCCTCTAGTTTCCCTAAACCAGTAAACAATTTTGGATATTTGTCAACAAAAGGTGATTTTGTGCCTACATCAATTTTATCTAATTTAAAACTAGAGTTATCACAACTGCTACTAATATTATTATCAGTGCGTTCTAAAAGATGTAAATCTAATATGGCAGGTATACCTAAAAGAGCTGTAGATAAATTCTTAATAACAAAAATATCTTGCTTACTACACTTATTACCTGTGCTTATATTAGCAGAAAACATACCTATAACAAATAATACCTCTTTACTAGGGCCATATAATACTTTGTTAGGCTTACTTAACTTAATCTTAGGATTTAATGATCTTATTCTATCATAAGCTTTTTCAGGAATAGATGTGACCTCTGCCCCTGAGTCTATCTTAAAATCTACATGAGCTTTATCTACATATGCATCAACCTTAAACAAATCTTTTGCATAAGACATATTATTAATATCTCCTGAAACAGTGCCTAGAAATATAAGTTCTGGATTAGTATCATTTCTAGCATTTACAGAAAAAACACGTTTGCTTTGGCAAAGTCTTTCAAAATGTCCTATTTTCTGACACTTCCTGCACTGCGCAGATGCTGCTGGACACTCATCTCGGCTATGCTTGGATCTTCCACATCTGTAACACTTATCATTCTGTGATGTCTTGTGTTGTGGATTTCCTGGTTTCTTATAGTCTTTTGACTTCGTTGACTTTTGACTGTGAAATTTCTGTTTTGACATAACATTCACGTTTGCATTTACCGTATCTTCTCGTAAGACTTTATTCTGAGAAATAACAGTTTCTGTCTGCTTTGCTGCTTCGATTGCTTTCTTCAGGGTTAAGGTGGAGTCTAGTTGTAACCTTCTAGATAACTTCTCATCCTTAATACCCACTACAATACGATCACGTATTAATTGATCTCTAAGTGTACTATAGTCACAGTATTCAGAAAGAGGATAGAGTGCTGTTATGAAACTATCTACCGATTCTCCTTCCTTCTGCACTCTAGAGTTGAATTGAGCACGTTCAAATATGACGTTTCTTCGGACTATGAAAAAATCATTGAACTTTTGTCTCACCTCTGTGTACGTAATATTAACATCTGTGTCGACATTAAAACTTCGATAAATATCTTCAGATTCAGGACCCATGACGTATATAAGCATGTTGATCTGTTTGTCTTGACTCTCTTCACTGAGGCCAGATACTACTCTGTATCTATCGAATCTTCTCAACCATTTAGGCCATAACTGAGTTTCTTGAAAATTGAATTTCTCGGGAGGAGGAACTGTAGGTAATTTTACAGAATTAAAATTCGCGACACCATTCATATTGCTGGATGTAGGTCTAGTTGAAGTTGCTGTAGGCCTAGATGCACTACGAGAACTCGACTGTCCTTCTTCGTCCGACATTTTGTTTTTCTCTCCGCGACCACGTTTTCTAATTTTCACCAAATTTCTCAGTTATTATAGTCTATACATGTACATACCATTCACTATTCGTTACTTCTGAATCCAGTTAACTTCTGACACCATGTTTTATTATGTTGTTTATTCATAAAATAGAACGTAAGCAGTAATGCAAATGGTTTAATATCGGTGATACATTACAGACTCGTAGGCCATTGGCAAGCTTCTAGAACAAGAGTGATCATAATCACGTGTCTCTCGTGATGACGTCATATAGCGGGAAATACAAACTTGTTATCTAACAGTACATAATACAACAGTTCCTAATTATTTGTGTTTGTAGTAATTTGTGTCTATAATACCTTTTTTGCACTGCCAATCTGGATTATTGAATTCGATGATAACCGAATAGAAAAATCAGATTCAGTTCGATTCGATTTGGTTATGTATGCTTTTGCGTGCAATCCTATATAGCAGCTTTTGCACTGCAATCCTATATAGCAGCTTTTGCACTGTCGAGTTAAGTTATCCCAACTAAGAAAATTCTGGCAGCTTGACTGAATATTATCATATACACAGTCAAGTAACCTAATTTCGTGGAAACCTATTATTCGTGGATTCCCGGAAATGTTTAATAATTTACATGAGCGACCTTGCGCGACCTCCGCATTAGTTTGATTTAATAAACATGGGTTTTCTGTAGAATATCAGCTAGTTGAATGAATTCAGTAGTTTAAAGGAATGTAAAATGTATTAATGTATACTTTGACAAATACAAAATGGCGGATTTCAGTTATTACCAAATGTCACCATTTTTTATCGGCCGAATTTCCTTATAATCCCAACCAGTAATTGGAATTCCAACGAATGAAGTCACGTGATCAACTAGTGGATTCCATGTCAGCAGAAAATTTCTATGGAACACAAAGTGGACCATATTCTTATGTTGTTTCGGTGACTTTTAGCAATAAATCACGCTACGTATCTTATTTTGTCAGTCGCTATTTTTTTTTTAAATCGTGGTTCTTTGAAAGAATTGTCACTAGTTATAATGAATTGATATTAAAGATAAATACTAAGAGAAGTTAATTATACCACCCGGTATCCATACAACGTGTTTTTCTAGACTTATTTATAGATCAAACATTGTACACGAAAATGGGTGACGGATTCTGCCGCCGTTGCCGAGTTGGTTGCTCATGAAATATGGGTCAAAGTGAAGGATTCATAAAGAAAATCGAAATAAACCAATTTTAATTATTTTGTACAATTTTTAAATTAATTGCATTTTCATTAAAATGTTACGTTTTACCAATCATACTTTAGTCTCAGAAACAGAATTTCTTTTTAAGCTAAGCCAATCAGTCATAGTGTTTACAGCTCACCGATGACATTTGAGACTTCAAATCCATGTGTGTCCAGAATTATCCGCGAATGAATGTTAAAATGATGACTCGTTAAGTTCAGATACTCCATGATATAAAGAAAAGACACCTATAGAAATAGTTTGTAAAATTCCTAGTTTGAAGTTTTTTTGAAGGAATTATGCAATTTTCGCACATTTCTAGTACTTCTGAAGACTATTTGACAATAAACTGAGGCCCCGTGTGCTACAAGCTGTGCACGTTAAAGATCCCTCGACAATTGGAAATTGTCCTGTCCTGGCAAAATTTCCCTCATTGCACCCTGCATGGCGATGTCCGTCATCATTAGCCCACATGGTGCAGAAAAGTTCATTTCATTTCATTTCTGAAGACTATTTACATATATTTAAGAATAAAATCAACACCAGTTTTTCAAACTCAGCCCATCTAAAACACCTTGGGTAGTACAGAAAGATATAAGTATATTTGTATTGTTTACATGATTAAAATAAATGATGCGGAAGTCTTCCTGAGACTTTATAAAGATGATATGAGAGATTTCTATCTGCTGGTTTATGTTTCTGGACCTTCACCACCAGGAACCAACTGAAATAGAAACAAACAGAGGGAGTCAGATTGGTGATTAATGGTAAAAACAAGCCACAGGTAAGACCTAGGAATTAATGTTTAATCGATTGTATGAATTGAGGATGGGAAGAGCTCTAAAAAAAGACAGACCTGGGGACTTATTCTCGAAAAGAAGGTTGAGTATTTCATACTGGTGATTGTTACTGTACTGCTAAATACTTTTATTCAAAATCAAAGATGCCAGTGGGCATATATTACCTTGCCTGGCAATCTTTACCATAGTCTGTGACACATCAAATGTTTACTAAAAAAAGTGCAAAATATTTTCCTTTGATGAAAACCTACTATCAACACACCATCCTTAATTACAGCTCACAGCACCAATGGATTAACTTAGTTTGCAAAAACGTCTATTAATCTTATCCAATAGTCACTTACCATTGTAATATTATTTCCATTTAATAAAATTTTATCTATTCTGGTCACTCTTCGACCCTCAGGTGTACTTTCGCTGAAATTAAAATACATAATTATGAAAAATAGTAAAACAACTAAAGGGAAATAACTTCTGATTATCAGAACACATTAATTTCTTATGTCTAGTCAATATCAATAATCTCGAAATATTGCTTTTCTAGTTAAAGATGGGTTCCCTTATTTATATTTATGAAAATGAAAATGCTAATACTTTGAATAGAAAGTAGAGGCGTTCTTATGACTTGGAAAAATACCAGTTTGACTCACATGTCCATAATTAATTCATAGTTAGTTAAATTAGAAGAGAATTACCAGCAGAATTCCAATGAGTGACCGATGAAAAAAGGTAAAAAAGTATTTTTTTGTTTATCCAGACTGTACATACATGGACATTTATGATTATATGCAATAAGAACATAATGATATGATTAAGAATACATGATAAGTCATTAGAAATACCAATTAATCAAATAGTTTGCTTAATTTAACACTAAAAAATAAGGAAACCCATCTTTAACATTCACAGCCTTTGTAGCTTGTTCTATCTTATCTTTAACAAACCCCATCTTAGCTATCTGTATTACTTATCAGAATGGCAATACAAATTTAGTTACACTTACAATTCAGATACATCTTCTAACACCATATCTAAATAACTGTTAAGGAATATAAAAGGTCTACTTGCTGAAATACAAGGTAAGATAACAGAACTTTCACAAACGTAATAGAAATTAAAGTGATATTTGAGTCCAGGACAGACTTAAACCTATAACAACATAATCATCAGATAAACAAAACTTGTTTTACATCAATGTATCTATTAGTTTCAGAAAATGTTTCTTTTTTTATTTTTTAAGTAACCGATGTAGGTTATATATTTTTTATCACCACTTTTTTCTGCACATAGTAGTAATTGATGTTACTGCGCTTTTGTAATTTCAAATATATATTGTTTTTACAACCACTTTCAACTAACTCCATGAGCTCAGAATTTATCTTTTCGTCGTTTCACAAATATTAAGAAAATTTCTTATTTAGATTACATTCACTTAGAACATTTAATAAGGAAAAATTATGAATTTGCAGAGCTAAAATGTGCAGCTTTTTCCTGATTTCAAACTGCCTCTGAAAAAAAAGCCTTTTGACATGTTTTCAAGACATATTTATGGAATACTGATTTATCATTTCAAAACCAGTTGTCCTGATGAGGATTTTATATCATAAACATGTCTTGTCGTTCAGACTTGGTGACATTTATTCAAGGATACTGACATAATCATCAAAGCCCCAGAAAGTTCCAACTATTTCAATGTCATTCTTCATAATTATATGAATTCTAGATCCTATACATTTATCTACCAATTCTGAAATAGAACAATCATTAATTTGCATTTCAAATATAACAGGCCACCTCTTGATAGCTAGTTATATGTATAGTCATTATAGTTGATGGATCAGGATATGCCCAATCATTCCAGGGGCCAGGGGAGGAACATGTTCAATTGCTTATTACATGATTAGCTTTTATATTCTTTTGAAGAGAATGAATAAAGATGGAAATAGAACAATCATTAATTTGCATTTCAAATATAACAAAATTAATAAGGCCACCTCTTGATAGCTACTTATATGTATAGTCATTATAGTTGATGGATCAGGATATGCCCAATCATTCCAGGGGCCAGGGGAGGAACATGTTCAATTGCTTATTACATGATTAGCTTTTATATTCTTTTAAAGAGAATGAATAAAGATGGAAATAGAACAATCATTAATTTTCATTTCAAATTCAAACATAACAAAATTAATAAGGCCACCTCTTGATAGCTACTTATATGTATAGTCATTATAGTTGATGGATCAGGATATGCCCAATCATTCCAGGGGCCAGGGGAGGAACATGTTCAATTGCTTATTACATGATTAGCTTTTATATTCTTTTAAAGAGAATGTATAAAGATGGAAATAGAACAATCATTAATTTTCATTTCAAATTCAAACATAACAAAATTAATAAGGCCACCTCTTCATAGCTAGTTATATGTGGGTAGTCCTGTTTAATGATGGATATGCCCAACCATTCCAGGGTCTTAATAATTAAATGGGAGGAAGGAGTCCAATTGCTTACTATATGATTAGTTTTTATATTTTTTCAAAGAGAATGAATAAGAAAGGGTGAATATGCAAGCTTCAAATAGCCTAACATTAACTGTTATTAACCGATGTGTACATTTGTAATAGGCCTATCATTGTAATATTATTGCAGCAAGGTTTATAGAGGTAAAATAACTATTATTTTGATCCATTATCTATTATCTGGATATTTCAAAATATAGGCTTCTTTCATAATGACATTTTAAATATCCATACAACCACATTGGCCAATATATTTCGAAAAATAACATCTTTTCGCTCTTGCTGAACTAACTGGTTCAGTCAATCAATGGTTGGCAAAACAGAGACACTGTATTTGACGCGTCTAAAATGGTGGGTTAGGAGAAAAGGTCATAGCGTGGATCATTTGTTTTCGATACACAAATATTGTTTATAGAATGTTTTCGTTAAATTGACTGGAAACAGTTACAATGTTTGGAATTAAACACAACTAAAGGCAGCAATTGAGAAGGACTCGTAAATGTAGCCGCCATTGTGAAAGAGCGCCACCTATCGGTGATGAACGGGCACCTGCAGCTTCCGTTAATAAATTGTAGGGATCGATAATTAACTTTTTGAACTATGAATCATCACTTGTACTACCAGATAAATAAAAACACATTACATAATTAATAAATGATGCACAATTTTATTTGAGATGCTATCAAAAAGCATTTGTATCCCAAATATTCACTCATAGCTCATATAATTTAGATTTTCACGTAATTCTGACCCGATGAAATTTTGTCTCCGCATCTTCCGGAAATTGACGGAATTTACCGAAGTTGTGTTATTACAATGGCTGACTGAAAAGACTTCATGATGCTTACTTCATTGTGATTTTCTTTTATAAATAATGGATTAATAATAATGAGTGCTAGTGAATCCAATGGCGAAGCGGGATCGGATAAAGATGTGGAAAATTACTATAGACCCGGTAAGATCGATACCATTTTCTAGATCAATTTTTAGGAATTTTTGCAGGCGCCATTCTTCGGAATCAGATCAAAACGCACGCGCATTTGAATGAGGGGGTTTCTTGTGTCTATTTTGCCGGATATCCATTCCTTTGTTATTGAAATACATTGAATAGCTTCATTACTTTTTTTCAAAAACAGTTTTCATGTGAACAAACGTTCAAAGTATAAAACTCAGTCCCAAATCTATGATGTAAGTTGTGATCAGAGATCAGACAGAAAGAAAAGCTTTCAGAATTCTATGGCACCAATGTTTGAGAGTGCCAGTATTTTTGAGATATGATTAGAGATAAGGAGATTCTACTTTAGTTACAACTACTCTAATTTCTCCTTGGTTCATACAAGTTTTATCAATGAAAAACACTTCATTTTAGACTGAGACTGTGTAGATATTTATAATGAAGAATATGCCTTTTCCTTGCTATACTAGGCTTAATGGCATTGATAAATAATACTGTACTCAAAGTCAATATTGCTTTAACCCAGAACCTTATGTTGAATAGTTACCCTAGCTTAAATGTTTTGATGTTGGATATTGTAAGGTATTGAGGATATTCCTGCCCCTGGTCCTGGTAATGAATGGATGAATGAGAAATGTACCATTTCTCCTAAAGATAACATCTTATATTTCTTATGGTTCAATACAATTCAATTTGGATTTTTGTATTGAAGAACTTCATTCCAATCATTTACAGGCCCTCAAAACAGTGGCATCCCCAGCCTTCTGAGACTGGAGGTACAAATAGGGGGCAGACTGATTCATTGGAACGTCTAAGAGGGTTCTCTCAAGAAAATCGTAGAAAATATGAATTGAATGCATTCTGACACATATTTTGGAGAAAAAAAAGTAGACATTTAGATTTGTTGAAAATAAAGTGGGGGTACGATTGCTTCTAGAAGTGATGTCCATTTTGTCGTCCGTGTAATTATTTTGATTAATTCTGATGGATAAATGAAGTACCGGTAGTTAATCTATTTATCAAGTGATAATCCTACTGTGAGGATGATGGTCTCAAGGTGTGAAATTAATCTGCTTTCTGCCACTAGGGAGTTTTAGTGACAGTGAGTCACAGTTGGTGTTATAATAATCAGTGAAACACTGGATGCAATGTGTCTCTCTACTAGTAATTCTAGTATTTATTGCACACCAATCCAGACTGATGACTCTACTAGTGGTTAGGGTGATTGAAAAGTAACAAGTTACTATTCAATATAAGGCACTGGCACAGGGTTGACTCTACTAGTGTACAGATTGTCACATGTATAGCTTTTCTATGGTTTATGTCAATTGGTATATTTATTGCACACCAATCCAATAGGCCAGTGATACCTCTGGTGAACAATATTGTCCCATCCAATATTGTTTATATATTGTTAAATTTATGGTATCGTACACCTACCAACCAATAGGCTGATGCCTCTGCTGGTGTCTATGGTTTACTTGTTATAAGCTTGTGTATTGCACACCAATCCAATAGGCCGATGACTCTCCCATAGCCAATATTGTTTATAAATTATTAAATTTATGGTACCGTGTACTGTATATTTAGTAGGCTGATGCCTCTGCTGGTGGACAGACTGTTTTAGTTCATTCTTTAACCATTTTTGAGTCTAAATCCAAAGAATAACCGCGCTTCCACTGAGAATTGTAAAGTAAACCTAGCTCTAAGGGAGCTATATTGCCAAACCAGTTGCGTTTACACTGAGTTTAACTGGTTCCCAAACGACTTTAGCCTCCATCACAACTCGTGATGTACAAGACTACTGTTTAGACCAGTAAGAAATGCAATAGACCAGAAAGACCAGTATGCCCCGTATTGCCGACGAGATAAAGCTCGCTTTTTGCGTTTCCACTGAGTAAAGTAAAAGCCAGCTTTCATTTGGCCCCCGATAAATTGCTGAAAACATAAAGCAAGGTTTTCGATTCCCGTTCGGCAATTTGTCCAGTGGAAAGACACGAAAGCTAGCTTAAAGCTGGATTTTTGCCTCAGTGGAAACACAGTTAATGTATCAGTATTGTGGTGAGTGTCACAAGGGAGGTATAACATTCTCAATCTTCTTGCACAATTGATGCCACACTGCCAGTGGGTTTGTCAACTTGGCTTCTTCATAATTTTCAAAATCC